AACTGTACTTATTCTTTTAAATTTGTAATTGATATGTATGCACTGAACTTAATCACTTGCCCAATTTTGCATCAAAATCAAAAGTATTCAGTTAGCTCCTCTTAAGCAGTTTGAAAGGATTACTCTTGAGTTCTTGCTGCACCACGAAAGGGGACATACTGAGTTATCAGCATGTTACATCTAGTCTAGTACTCTCTTGCAGCTGTTTATATGAGGAGGAGGATTAGGATTTTCTTCCATGCTGGCAATTCCAGTGGCTGTGGTTGTTCACACAAATATCCGGATTGTAAAATGTTCTTCCCGGTTGTTTAAAGTGTTATTTTTTCTAAATTCTCAGAAAACCCTTTCTTGACCGTATTACTGAAAGTGGTAACTCCCCCCAGGCACTTATTACCTTATTTTCTTCATTACACTTATCTCTTAATGATATTGTTTATTTTTATTACCGCTCTTTCCGGCACTAGAGTGTAAACTCCATGAAGATAAAGATAGTCCATCTTGTTAAGCTCACCTACAACAATGCTTAGCACATAGTACGCATTCAAAGACATTTTTGTAGAAGGAAACAATGATGTAAAATTTCCTAAATTGAATTTTCAGGTTTCAAGTGGTTTCCCCCAAATGTAGGATTGTGGTGAGCAAATGTGTGCTCACCGATCTCTAGTCTTTACTTGTTTATAGACATTTGACCTATCTTTGTTATTCTTCAGTTTTCCTTCTTTTTTTGTTTTATTTTATTTTTATTTTTGGCTGTGTTGGGTCTTCGTTTCTGTGCGAGGGCTTTCTCTAGTTGCGGCGAGCGGGGGCCGCTCTTCATCGCGGTGCGCGGGCCTCTCACTGTCACGGCCTCTGTTGTTGCAGAGCACGGGCTCCAGATGCGCAGGCTCAGTAGCTGTGGCTCACGGGCCTAGTTGCTCCACGGCATGTGGGACCTTCCCAGACCAGGGCTCGAACCTGTGTCCCCTGCATTGGCAGGCAGATTCTCAACCACTGCGCCACCAGGGAAGCCCCCCAATTTTCTTTCTTTGATGTTTTTTGAAGGAGAAAAAAGGACTAGCATTGCCAACATGTTTGATGTGGCACTAGTGCTTTACATACATTATCTAATTTAATTCTTCTTTTTAAACCATTTTTAAATTGAAGTATAGTTAATTTACCGTGGTTTTTATTTTTACTTTTTTTTTTTTTTGTTGTACGCGGGCCTCTCACTGTTGTGGCCTCTCCCCTTGCGGAGCACAGGTTCTGGACGCGCAGGCTCAGCGGCCACGGCTCACGGGCCCAGCCGCTCTGCGGCATGTGGGGTCTTCCCGGACCGGGACACGAACCCGTGTCCCCTGCATCGGCAGGCGGACTCTCAACCACTGCGCCACTAGGGAAGCCGTTTATTTTTACTTTTTAAAAATTTAATTCTTATAACTAGTTTTTCTCGTCTTCATTTTACAAATAGGAAATTATGTATTTTAAGAAGTTTTTATTTCTTTTACATATAGCCTATGTTATATAAATTTTGGGGGGGATGAAAACGTGATTATAGCTTACAAAGGGTTTTTTTTTTTCTTGATTCGTTTTTGGTAAGTCATCTTTTATTTCCCTTTCCCTTTGTAATTTAGTTAGCCTTTTTGAAATTTCTCCAGCTCCATTATTTTTTCTTAATGAAATGATATAACCAATAAATAATACTCCAAGTTAGGGCACACATTGATATTTAATAGATAGACTGGTAGATTGATGTGCTTTCTTCCAATTGCCTTCCTCATCATGGACTATCGCATTTACCTGATAGCTTCAGTGATTGCCTGTTTCCCTTTCTAACTTGTAATTGATAATTCACAGGCTTCTTTATGCATCGGTTTTTTTTCCCTAAATGTATATTTGCAGCTTATATGCTGCCTTTTTCTCATTCAGATAACTTCATAATATTTTTTTTCTTTTAATACCAATATTTCCCTATTCAGTAGAGCCCACTACTTACTGAAGCTCTAAGGTAGCCTTCTGATCTATCTTCCAAATAATTTATTAAAATGTTACCTAGAAATAGTACTCATTACCCATCACTAAGACGTCTCACTAATTTTGTTTTTGTATTCATAGTAGTGCCTGTTTTACCTTCTGTGTACTGTCTCTAAATTGGTTCTTAATCCATGACAAAAATAGACCCGTTTGTATACGAAGACTCACTTTTTAATAGTATTTAAGCATAGACCCTAGCTAACAGCCTCCTGAGAATCTAGACTGCCTCTAATAGTTTTTCGCCTAAAGAGCTCTCCTTTAAAAAATTAAAACAAAACATTCTGCCTTTCTCGTTTTAGATGTTAGTACTATTTGGGTACTATCAGTCTCTTTTTTTTAATGGAATCAACTAGTTGGCCAGATATAGAAGTGAAATAGTTATGGATTCTTTCTTACGGATACCAGTCTAGTTGACGGTCCACAAGTCCTCTAGTACAGTAGCCGTAGATAAGACACGTTATACTTATGGTTCAACAGTTATGTCATTGGGTTTCTTCAATACTATTAAGTAATATACGTAAGTTGAATTTTTTTGAATAGTCATGGAATATCCTGTATAGTTCATCAAGCAGTTATATCCTATTTTATTAAAAGAATGGGAAGTCTCTTTATTACCCTCTTTAAACACAGAATCCATTCAGTATTTTAACTCTCTTCACCTCATGAAAAAACATCTTTTAGTCATTTTGGTATCCCCTCTATAGGGCATGTACATACAGCACACTTATTTGATGAATGAATGAATTGGGGGATGTTCTAAGATTGTATCTTCTGAAAGTCATTATAAGCCAGCTCCTTTAGGAACAGTAACTGACATATATTTTCCAGAAATGAGTGCTATAGAATATATATAGGGAAAGATTCTTAAAGGTATTGTTTTGTGTTTGTCTTTGCCCTTGGTTGAAAATGTAACGTTTTCCTTCAAATATTTATAGGAAAATGAAGAGTTAGACTGGAATTTACTGAAACCAGATATCTATGCTACAATTATGGATTTCTTTGCATCTGGCTTACCTTTAGTTACTGAGGAAACACCTTCAGGAGAAGCAGATAATGTGTTGGGTAATTAGTATTTATCTTTTTTTTTTAAACTGTTCTATTTTCTTCACATTTGTCTTGATTTCAGAAGTCATGGGACTACAGATTTTTATCATTGTACTATATTTAGCTCTGGAACCAATCCCAGAGGGGACAAAATTTCATGTGTAGTAGTTTCATCCATCATTTTATAAAACTTGTGTATAAATTGAATATATTATACAAAACTAAAATTTTCAATTATAAAAATTTTCAGGCATATAGAAAATAATATTATAATGCTCACCAATTTGCCCTTTTCTCAGATTTAACAAAGTTTAACTCTCTACCTTAATTGCTTTAGACTCGTTTCTAAATAAAATATTAAAGACATAGCCAAAGACCCAGAACTCCCATCCCTTTTCCCTTTCTATTACAGAAATGTATGTAAATTTAGTTTGTTTTTAAACTTTTACTACACATGTAAGTCTCTGCAGGGAATTTATAGTATTGGTTTTTGTTCTTAAACTTTAAATAACTTGTGTTATATGCAACTTTCCTTTTTTCACGTATTTTGAAATACACCCATTTATTTATTTTAAGTGCTGGATAGTATTCCATTATATGAATAAATTACAGTTAATTAATTTTTTCCTTTACTTATATCCAAGTAAATTGTGCTAATTTCTGTTACAAACATTGCTGCATTGGGTGTTCTTGTACAAGTCTCTTTGTGCATTTGTGGAAACCTGCTTTAGGGTACTTTTAGAGTATATTCCTAAAAGCAGAATTGCTGTATCGTAAATTGTTCTAATTTACATGCAAATTAGCAGTGTATAAGAATTTCAACTTTCTTATATCTTCATCATCACTTTGTGTTTACTTTTTTTTTTTAACCAATATGTTAGGGGTAAAATGGTGTCTTGTTTTAATTGCATTTCCTTGATTAATATTGAGCCTGAAGGTTTTCATATATACAAACATATGGCCAATATTCATGTGACTGGCCAATATTTTCCTTTTCAGTAAATTTCCTGTTCATAAACTTTGCTGATGTTTTAAAAAATTGAATTATGTGTCTTTTTTGTATTGGCTTTAGCAAGTTGTTCTTTTTTTTATAAATTTATTTATTTATTTGTTTATATTTGGCTGTGTTGGGTCTTCATTGCTGTGCACGGGCTTTCTCTAGTTGCGGTGAGCAGGGGCCACTCTTTGTTGCGGTGCGCGGGCTTCTCACTGTGGTGGCTTCTCGTTACAGAGCATGGGCTCTAGGCGTGTGGCCTTCAGAAGCTGTGCCACGCGGGCTCAGTAGTTGTGTCTCACGGACTCTAGAGCACAGGCTCAGTAGTTGTGGCGCACGGGCTTAGCTGCTCCACGGCATGTGGGATCTTCCCGGACCAGGGCTTGAACCCGCGTCCCCCTCATTGCCAGGCGGATTCTTAACCACTGCGCCACCAGGGAAGCCCTAGCAAGTTTTTAAAAAATATTCTGAGTATAAATCCTGAATATACTATATATAAATTAAGCATATTCATAGCAAATAACTTCTCCCTAACCATGCCTTATATTTTCACTATATTTAGGTTGTCTTTTGTCATTCAGAAATTTTTTCTTGGGCTTACCTGGTGACGCAGTGGTTAAGAATCCGCCTGCCAAGGCAGGGGACATGGGTTTGATCCCTGGCCTGGGAAGATCCCACATGCCATGGAGCAACTAAGCCTGTGCGCCACAAGTGCTGAGCCTCCACTCTAGAGCCCGCGTGCAACAACTACTGAAGCCCATGTGCCTAGAACCTGTGCTCCACAGCAAGAGAAGCCGCAACAATGAGAAGCCTGTGCACTGCAACGAAGAATAGCCCCCGCTCACTGCAACTAGAGAAAGCCTGCTCACAGCAACGAAGACCCAACACAGCCAAAAATAAAAACAAACAAAAGTCCCATGTAAGAAAACAAGAAAGAAATTTTTTCTTATTTTAAAATATGGAACGTTTCACAAATTTGTGTATCATCTTTGTGAAGGGACCATGCTAATCTTCTCTGTATCATTTCAGTTTTAGTATTTGTGCTGCTGAAGCAAGCACAGAAGTTTTTCTTTTTAATGGAGTCGCATATTTTCGTCTTATCCCTTGTGGTTTCTGTTTTGTGTACATTGTTTTAATAAGTTATTGTATGTAAAGCACTTGGAAGAGTAACGTCACATGGATCTCAAATACTAGCTGTGATTATTATATTTGTTGTTGATGAAATTTTTCCTTTCTCCAATATCGTACAGATACTGTTTTTTTTGTGTGTGTGTGTGTGTGTATGTATATGTATACATGTATCTACACACACACAAACATTTGTATAATCACCTTTAAATGAATCAATTTCACTTCTAGATAATATATATTCTAAATGAGTGATAAATGTACACAAGGCAACATGTGGAAGCATGTTCATTGAAATATTTTTAAAATATGTTAGCAGTTAAAAGGAGTGAACTTGATTAGGAGATATCAGTGTGGAAAGATATAAAAAATATTAAGTGATAAAGGAAAACTGAAGAGTTTATTTATATGTTCTTACATATATACCATTTATGCAAATTTTAAATAATAATACAAATTTTAAATTGTATGTGTTCTTGATGGACATGTATGTAAAATTGATATAATGTTTTGAGAGCCATTTGACATCTACCAAAACTTAAAAATACACAAGCCTGTTGACCCAGCACTAGGAATTTTTTTTTATATAAAGAGTGCTTTCTTTTTTTTTTTTATAAATTTATTTATTTATTTACATTTTATTTTTGGCTGCATTAGGTCTTTGTTGTGGTGAGCGGGGGCTACTCTTCGTTGTGATGTGTGGGCTTCTCACTGCAGTGGCTTCTCGTCGTGGAGCGTGGGCTCTAGGTGTGCGGGCTTAGTAGTTGTGGCTTGCAGGCTGTAGAGCACAGGCTCAGTAGTTGTGGCCCACGGGCTTAGTTGCTCCATGGCATGTGGGATCTTACCAGGCCAGGGATCAAACCCATGTCCCCTGCCTTGGCAGGCGGATTCTTAACCACTGCGTCACCAGGTAAGCCCAAGAAAAAACATGGGCTCGAACCCATGTCCCCTGCATCGACAGGCAGATTCTTTGTGCCACTAAGGAAGTCCAGCAGAACTAGGAATTTATCTCTTAGATATATATGCAAAAATACACTGATATATACTTTACGTAAGCATGTATACTGCAGGATTGTTAGAAATAGCAAACTAGAAACAACTGAAAGAATATAAAAACTAGCCAAATGAAGACAAAGCCATACAAAAATTACTATGCACCTTTTTTTTTTTTTTTTTTTTGCGGTACGCGAGCCTCTCACTGTTGTGGCCTCTCCTGTTGCGGAGCACAGGCTCCGGACGCGCAGGCTCAGTGGCCATGGCTCACGGGCCCAGCCGCTCCGCGGCATGTGGGATCTTCCCGGACCGGGGCACGAACCCATGTCCCCTGCAGGCGGACTCTCAACCACTGCACCACCAGGGAAGCCCTATGCACCTAATTTTTAAATTGAGGCATATCTTTATATGCTGATACGGAAAAACCTTTTAGGTATATTAAATAGAATAAAACAAGGTATAGAACAGTGTGTATAGTGTGTATAGATATAGACTTGTAAATGTCAACATGTACTTGAAGGATATACACTAAAGTCATGATAGTGGTTGCCTGTGGAAGTGATGGTGTGGAATGGAATGTAGGTTTGCTGATGTAAGAGAATTTTAACTTTATTATATTTTATTTCTTTTATTAAAAAATTCAAAGTTGATATAATTTAATATTAATATGTTGATACTTATATTGTTGCGAGAACTCTAGTGTTTGTCACAGTGTAATTTGAATTAGCTGCATTTTAATTTTCCCAATGGTAAAGAAATTTTTCAAAAAAATATAAAACCCATAAAAATAGGCATGTGTGAAGATCGGTGTATGACCTTACAAAGTAAAAAAAAACAAAAATGAAAGAAAATGAAAAAACCAAGTTTTTGCTCAGATATGTAAAACATTTTAGAGTTTCCATAAGGCTTACATCTGTATTTAGTATGATTGTCATTTTGAAAACCACTAAATTGAGAAATTGAAAATATAACTTAACTTACAAAGCAGGTGTGCTGTTTTGTCTCAAAGTTTTCATCAAAATTCAGACAATATCTTTTCTCTGCTACTTTTCAATTCTTGAGAAGGATGAAAGTTTACAAATATATTGGCCAAAAAATTCAAATCCTAACATAATTAGTAGATCAAATTAGTCAGTATTCACATTTGATCCGTATTCACTGACCAAATGTTGATCAGTGCTCCTTAATTTTTCTTCAGATAATCAAATGAATGGCCTTTACATTTCCCCTAAGTTAAAATCACTCTGTTTTAATGTTTGTACTTGCATGGGTATAAAATTTCTACTGTTGATATGTTTTATTCGTAATTGTTTCTAGGATCTGAAGATGATGATGAAGTTGTGGCAATGATTAAGGAATTGTTAGATACTAGAATACGGTATGTGCTCATCTTTCTACCTGAGATCAGATATATCAATACTACAGAGCCAATTTTCATTGTAGCAGTGTACTTTTGGTTTGTCTCTGAGGTTGTAGTAGAGTTAACAAAATAAGTATAAGTTAATGTAAACCAAAATAGGTAACCATGACAATTGAATTTAAAGCCTGTACATTCTCTATATTCACTCACAATTTATAACACTCTGTCTAAACATAATAATTTATCTTTCATGGTCACCATTTGGGTTTGATATTGTTATAATACCAAATTTCTTAGTAAGAAAAAAATGGCTTAACAGTGTTTGGGAGAATTGTGAAGAGAGGAGCACCTCTTTTCAGGCTGCTGCCCCAAAAGAATAAATTTAAATGAGTAGAGAACCATAGGGTTCCACTTTTGCTTGTAGCAGACCAATAGTCCTGCTGACAACTCCCAAAAAAGCTAGATAGAATACAAAAAAAATTTTTTGTGTGTTGTTGGACAGTATTAGATAGCTGCCAAAGCAAATAAGATCCTGTAGAGAAGGGAAGCACATTGAAACTTCCCTTGGGGCATTTGCTGATTCTTGATGTGAGGTTAGAATATGAGAAGCTGGGCAAAGGGCAGTCGCTAAGAATCAGAGAAACTATGTTGCTTTCAGCAAATTTGTAGAGATGGGAAGACAAAAATTAAAATTCTGGGTTTCCAATGAAGCTTTGACTTTAAAGGGCAAGATCCCAGAGAAAAGAAAAAAATAAGCCCTAATACTCAGAAGTTCTCCCCACATGGCTCTTACTTGTTCTTAGCTATGGAGGGGAAGAGACTAAGAAGTCAAACAAAAAGGAGTTGAAAAGGTGAGCAGAGTTTTGGCAGTTTTATGGTGCTGGGGGTGGTGACAAAAATTGGAGTTTAGGATCTGTCAAGGAGTGTGGGGCCTCAAGGAACACCCAGGCTTTTAGTCAGACTCTCTAGAGGACTATCCCCTTGAAAGTGGACAAACCAGAGGTAGACCAAGCCTTACAAAACTGTAGTCCAGTATTGAGTGAACCTAATTCCACAGCAGGTTGAGCTACTGCCAAAAGATAGGGTGAATCCTTTCTGATGTAATATAATCCTGAGTCACTTCAGTTTTTCATGTACATTGTTCATCATTCATTGTCCAAAAATTACTAGGCATGGAATTTGGAAACTGGACCAAGAGAAAATAAAACAAATCCATAGATAACCTAGATGTGAGAGTTATCAGACATGATCTTTAAAATAACTGTGAATAAAATGTTTGAGAAAATAGAAAGTGAGATGAAGAATTTCATCAGAAAACTGGAATCTATAAAAAAAAGTAATTCTGGAACTAAAATGTATAATAGCTAAACTTAAGAACTCATTAGGTTAGTTGAACATCACATTGGATACTGTTGGAGAGAAGATTAGTGTACTGGAATATAAGTCAATAGAAAATATCCAGCTGAAGCACAGAAAAGAGAATGGAAAATACAGCAAAAAAGTATGAGAGATGTAGAATATATGGCAAAAAGGGTCTCACAGTGTCCTATAGGGTTTTTAATATGTCTGGAATTAAAATGCATGACAAAGGGGACTTCCCTGGTGGTCCAGTGGGTAGGACTCCAAGCTCCCAATGCAGGGGGCCTGAGGTTCGATCCCTGGTCAGGGAACTAGATCCCACATGCATGCTGCAACTAAGGAGTCCGCATGCCACAACAAAGATCCTGTATGCCACAACTAAGACCTGGCGCAGCCGAAATAAATTTTTTAAAAGAAGGGTTAACCTACTAAAAAAAAAAAAGCATGACAAAGATATAAAAGGTGGTGATAAGTATAAGAGTAAGTGTTCTTTGGGACTTCCCTGGCGGTCCAGTGGTTAAGACTTCGCCTTCCAATGCAGGGGGTGTGGGGTCGATCCCTGGTCAGTAAGCTAAGATCCCACATGCCTCAGGGCCAAAAAACCAAAACATAAAACAGAAGCAATGATGTAACAAATTCAATAAAGACTTTAAAAATGGTCTACATCAAAAAATCTTTTTAAAAAATAATAAAAAAAAAGAGTAAGTATTCTTCATTCTTGGCATTATCTGGGAATTGATAAAAGTACTAATTTATATTAGAGTTTAAGAAATCAAATAAGCATCTTGTGTAATAAACACTTAAGTCAACAGTAAAAGACTGTGTATAACCAAGCCAATAGAGGGGGAAAATGGAATAATAAAAAACAATACGGGGACTTCCCTGGTGGCACAGTGGTTAAGATTCCACACTTCCAAATCAGGAGGCCTGGGTTTGATCCCTGGTCAGGGAACTAGATCCCACATGCGTGCCGCAACTAAGCGTTCTCATGCCGCAACTAAAAGTTCACGTGCCACAACTAAGGAGCCAGCAAGCTGCAAATAAGGAGCTGGTGAGCCACATCTAAGGAGCCCGCCTGCCACAACTAAGGAACCTGCGAGCTGCAACTAAGGAGCCTACCTGCCACAACTAAGACCCAGCGCAACCAAATAAATAAATATAAAAAAGAATACTTGTTTAATCCAAAGTAATGCAAAATGATAAATAATAAGATGGTACT